GCCCTCGGCCGCCGCCGGGGCCGCCGCTGCGGGCGACGCGCCCAAGCCCAGGGGCGACTGGCGCCTGGAGCGGGGCGCGTGGGACGAGGTGGTGGCGAGGACAGACGAGCTCGTGTCCATGCTCGAAAACTACGGGCCAGACGTCGAGGCCGTCGGGGCCAGGTGGAGGGGCAAGGCGCGCACCGCGGTGCGCAGCGTCATGGGCAAGGCCAAGGAGAACTGGGAGGGAAGCGAGGGGTGGAAGGAGTTGGAGCGGCTGCTCGAGGGGCTCCAGTCGTAAGCATTCGGCACGCGGCTTGCTACCCGGCAGCCAAACGGGGCATTTCATCTCGCTGCCTATGGACACGCCCTGTCTCATTCCCTTCCTCTCCATGGCATCAACATGTCTACCAGCTACGGTGGGGTCACGGGCGTCCACGCGTCGTGTGGATACCATCTGTGTGCTCCTTTCTTTTTTGTTTGTATTTCGCCAAAAGCAACAATGGAATTTGTCCAAAGGGGCTTGTTTTGTTTCTCGCCCATTCCATGTGCTCGACGAGAAACACGGCAGGCATGCGAGCTTTTGAGACCCAGCCACCGCAAACTTTGGTCTCCCCCGACACCCCTTGGATGTCTCAGGCCATTCACTCCACGCGTGGGCTGTAGAGGAGAGACGGTGGGAGAGAGAGAGAGTGTGTGTGTGAGAGAGAGAGAGATAGTAGAGAAGCGTGGTTGCGAATCCATCTTGAGCGTGGCCATCAGGGCCGTCACACACGATGAGACCACCCAAAGGAGAATCAACGACGCAAGGGGCCGTGATTCTCGACATCCTCCATGGCGGCGTGTGAGCCCTGGCCCGCAAGCTCTGGCGGGCCTGGCGCAACGTTGGACCTCGTCTAATAAAGCCCCCTCAGGCGCGCTTGGCATGCTCCCCACGTGCTACTTGACAAGCCAAGATGGCCCTCCGCCTTTGGCTGACGGTTTCATTAGCGGGTCGATATCCTCTATATCGTTGACGTTTTAAGTCGTCGCCACGCACGCACACACGCATACGACACGACCTAAATTGCTTGTCTTTTTTTTTTCCCCTCCTCACATCGCGCCCCTCGTCAACGTCAATAGGTCCCCGCGGTACGATTGTGGCGACTACGCAAGGTCTCGGCCTCGACGGGTTGGCGGATGTACCGAATAGGGCGGGTATATCAAACATGGCGTCGGTACGTATGCGACGAGGGCGTGTGTGCTTTTTTTTTCTCTCCCTCCCTTCGACGGTATCACGATCGTAGATGTGGTACCAAACTCCAACACTGCCGCACACGACTGGAGGGGGGGGGGTGAGGGGCCAGAACACTCACTCGTCCGGTGAGAGTCACACACATATACACACATACATACATACACACGCACACACACCGCCACGGGCAGAAAGAAATAGCAGCAGCAGCGGCGGTTTCGCCGCACACGGCGATGTATCACCAAATAAATAGAACCAACAAAAGGAGGGGGCACAGGGATGGAGGAGGCAGCAGAACGGAGCGAAACTAGCGGGCCACATGCAGACGCCACATGGAACCGCCGCCGCCAATGAGGTGGCCTCGCAGCCGAGAGACCCGGACGGGCGCGTGGCGGCCAGGCGGGCGGGCGGTGCGCCTCCCCTCACATCTAGAGAGTGTGGTTTCAGATGGAGGGGGGGAGCCGGCGGTTCGGCCGGTCCATCTCTGTGCGTGCGTGGTCGTGTGTGAACGTGTGTGCGTGTATGTGTGTGCGTGTGTGTGTGTGTGTGTGTCGCCGTCGCCGGTTTGTTGCTGCTGCAGGCGCGCCGGATGGAGCTAGAGCAAGCGAGCTAATATCTGTGGTCCCCCCATTTCGTGCGATCACTGCATTTTGTTTTTGGGGACGCCCAGGGCATGGTCCCTGGGAGGCCAGTTGTCACCACAATGCCCAACAGCGCGCAGCGGTGGGCATAAGTCCAGTCTGCTATTTTTCTCCTCTGGCGTGCGCATCGTCGATGTGTCCAATCGTCCCCCGTTTCCTCTCCTTCGCCTAGTGTGAGGGAGTCAGATCGTGCGTCCGCGGGCAGCCTGCTGCTGCAATAACCGCACGCCCCCCTTCTATACCTGACACAGCTGTGGCACTGGCAGAGGCCTTTCTGGCCCCCCCTCTCCTTCACCCACACATATGATATAGCAAGCACACTCTATAGTTATACGTCTTGTCCCACCAAGGGCATGGCCAATCGCGAGTGTTCCTCGTTGGATCCGTGGGAACGCCGCCCCCCTCGCTCGACCGCCTCACTCGACGCTATTCGTCCGCCTCGCAGGGATCTACCTTGGGGCGGTACCGCCCGGAGCCCGCAACAGATGATCCCCCTTCCGAGCTTTTCTTTTGCCCGCCAAGATCTCGCTTCTGCACACTCCCTCTGTCGGCAGACCGGAACTGGCGATCACCAACCCTTGCTTTTTCGTCTTTGTTTGTTTGTTTGCTTACCCTCTCGTTTTGGGTTTCTTTGCTTCTCTTCCTGGATGTTTCGCTTGTCACTTTCTCTGTGCGGCTTTTTTTTTTACCTTGTCTCCTTGGCCGGGACCCACGTCGCTTACGCCTTTTCCTACCTCCACTGCCGGACTGCGAAGAACTAATAGCCCAGAACGGCTGGACATGGCTCAAGGCCCCAGCGGGAAGGGAAGGATTCGGGATCTGAACGCGGTGTTTGAAGATTCCCGAAGCCGCAGGTGGATATGCCCAAACTCGCTTTAGCCTTTGTGCTTCTCCAGGCTTGAAACCCAGGTATGCCCTTGTAGCTATCTCCTAGTAGCGATCAGTTAGAAGGATCTTACGGGAAGAATCCAGTGACGGCAGCACTGAAGTCCAGCAGACGTCATAAATCGACAGACGAGGAGACACATGACGGGCAGAATTGTGGCTGATACCTTCACGTCTTGAGAGACTGATAGATCATCCTAGAATCTCCCGTGAGCTGTGTGATATTTGCTCCCTCTCAGAGATGCGTGCCTGCAAGATCACACGTGTGACGTCCCGCTGGACCCCTTTGTCCTCCATTACGTCCTACGCCTCGCGCGAGTGTGAGAGACAGCGTCTCAGCAAAACCGACTGCGGGATATGAGGTGAGATATCCAGGTTCTTGGGAAAATGGGGAGGGTTGAGGGCAAGTTCTGGGCAGTGGCTAAATTGCGGGCGGCTATCTTTCTTGCTGAGATGGGTTCCTTGAACAGCTGTCTTGAGAGATTGAGGAGACGGTAGTTTGATTTCCCCCACTGGACCACTGGTTGACTTTGATCGTCCGCCTAGAACTATTAGAAAGATCAATGGCCCTTTGGAAATGATCGCAAAAGTTCACGGCTCCAGGGATTATTACAGCCAATATATCGTCATGGTTGCAGATACATCGCCAAACAGCACGAGACTCAAAGCTCGGCGCCGCTGATTATCAAAAAGACGCAGGACTCTCAAAATATGATGGGCACAAATGACAGACTTGCTGCTTTCACAATTACGGAAATGAGGTACCCGACGCAAATAAACAAGACGGGGACAGACAGGAATTAGTAAACATGTACTCGCCTCCTCGGCCGGGAAGTTGAAATCTCGGGTATCTTGTTGCGGCTCCGGACATGATCAGAAGGTAGCCAGCCGTGGCCCAGCCAGTCGGTCAAATCATGGCCGTCACGGCGGATGTCCGCCTTGTTGCTCAACACTGGAGCAATCTATTCATCACGGACCTTTGTTCTTTTTAACATGTCGCTTCTGGCTTTTGCACTCAATGCTCAGCCACTCCGACTCCGGCACATGGACTGGCAGACTCGCTCCTATCTAGAGTGAAGACTCGTGATGTATGTAGGACGGTGAGCGTGTTTGCAAGTTTGCTGACTTCACCGCCTCGCATCGGCTCTACCCTCAGTTGTTCTGTTCGCACAAGCACGGGCTAACACCACCATGTAGCTGTGAGCCCGAGTGACCCGCCAGACCCGCTAGCGACGGGCTCACGAGAACTGGCGCACTGAAAACAAAAAAACAAAAAAAACAAAAAAAAACATTACCGCCAATTCGGGAAGCCGGCCAATGCCCGTCCTTCCCCGTCATGGTCCCCCCTTTTCCCTCCCTCTTGTGGCTCCCAGAGATGATGTGGGAAGCCGAGCCAGATCGGGGCCACAAAGAGGGGAGAGATAGGATCGGGCTCTGCCAATCCGGCCCTCGTGTAATTAGGGCGGCCGCTCGCTCGCGTTCCTCACGTATCCATCTCTTTGTGTGAGAACTCAACGTGGGTAACCGACGTGTAAAGAGAGCGACGTAACGTTAACCTATCGTACCATCCCTTGTGCGCAGGCGTCGTGATGCCATCGCTCACCTTCTCTTGCCGGCGGAGAGCGAATGCGAGGAGGGGGGGTGGAGGAGGGAAAAGAAAAGGGCTGGGCAGACGAACTCCGTTTTGTCCGTCTGTTGCCGAAAAGCGGTGGGGACACGGCGGCGGCGGCGGTGGGGGGAGAAGGGGGGGTGTGTGCGGACGTAAGTAGCAAATTGCGGGCTACACTTTCGCTCGCACGCACGAGTATCTCACTTCTACTACTGCTGCCACGGCCTTGTACGAGGGGGTGCATGTCGAGGAGACAAAAGAGACCGCCCTGGTGGAACAAGTCGGCCTGCAGAGGCGCCGTAATGGGGGGGGAAGGGCAAGATATACCGAGGCAGGAGCCGCCGTTGCCCGCCGAACGACGCTGGCCTCCTCCTCCCACCCCAATCTATCCTTAGGCGAGTCGCATAAGTGAGGGCGCAACCGCAGCGCTGCTGTGTAAACACCGGATGATCGGGCTTTCCTCGTGCGGGCAGGCAGTCCCGCCGTAAAAGAAAAAAAAGAAAAGGGCGTGTGCCGCCTTGGAAAGTCTGGGTCGTTGTCGTGTCGCTTTCGCTCCGTGCTTGGCGAGACCGAGGCGCCACCGACGTCGGCTCCCGCTGCGATCCACTGGCTTCCGCCGCTGGGCCAAAAAAAAACCAACCCGACCCACCCCCTACCTTCTCGTCCACGGTGCGGTGCCTCTGAGATGGGAGGGGGCTTTGAAGACAATCAGCAGCAGTGACTAGCCGCCGCGGGAGCTGATGGTCCCGTACCCTCCTTTCATGGACGGTCGTTGGTGACACAGGCCGCGGCTATAATCGTGGAACAAGAGGAGATGGTGTGTAACGCCGATCCGAAGTATCAAGACGGCCCCTCGATCGAGTTGCCGGCGGAGAAAGCAGCGCTGGATTCTGGTCAGAGTGGCGGTAGTAACCATTGCCTCTGCCGGGCCA